TTGGAGTAGGTAGAGTAGAGATCATTATTTCTTACAAAAGCTGGCCAACCATCACGAGTGATACATGAGCACCAATAACAGTCTTTCTCCAATTTTCTGCTAGATTTTTTAGGACATTTTTACCCTTGATGATACAATATAAAGATTCGAAACTGCATTTAGGATTGGGAAAATCAAGACTAGTTAGGTGATTGTTTACCGAGTTCAACAAAAGGAGGAGCTTTTCAATTCGGCTGGTTTTTAGGGTTCCGTACCTCAAAAGGAAAAAACGGAACCCGTATAGGATCACGTTGTTGTCCGTCTGTCTGTCTGTCAAGACCCTTTATATCAAGAACGCGTGGACGTATCAAGCTGAAATTCACATGAAATACTCAGGTCTGTTGTCCCTTTAAGCTGTGAAAATATCAAACTTCTAAGCCAAGCCAATCAAAAGATACAGCCGATTATGTCGATATTTTCAACAAATTTTCGACACTCGCAAAGGAATCAAAACCTACAGGATACTTCCCGTAAACTCAGAATCTTGAAATTTGGCATGAAGCATTGTCATATAATGCAAATATAGGAATCACATGTTTTTAGTTATATAATATAATAAAAATATTTTAATAAAATGAAACTTACTACCTTAGGCCCGACAGAAACGAGACATACCTCAGTTTTTTTGTCATGTCTTAATTAGTTAAATTATATATTTTTTATATTCAAAATCTATGTATAACACCAAATTATTACCCTTTGTTTTTGTTCAGGCGTCATACAAAAACTAATACAAAATGCCTATTTATCACCAAAATTGGTAAATGTATGTACCTAAATAGCTGCTATGGAATGTATCTAGGTGACCTGGAGATACAGCCGGATTATACAGGGTGGAAACGAGAAGTTACAAAATCCAAAAATTCAATGTTACCAGCTTCCATAATCTGTAACCTATTATTGGTATCATTTGAAAGAGCTTGTGAAGCACTTTCAGAATCAGCAACTAGTTTTTCGATATCTTGTATAGTTTAGAAATAATCGAGTGAGATCACTTATCGTTTCATATGTATAACCACCCTGTATAATCCGGCTGTATCTCCAGGTCACCTAGATACATTCCATAGCAGCTGTAATAGAAATTTAGGTACATACATTTACCAATTTTGGTGATAAATAGGCATTTTGTATTAGTTTTTGTATAACGCCTGAACAAAAACAAAGGGTAATATTTTGGTGTTATACATAGATTTCGAATATAAAAATGTATAATTTAACTAATTAGGACATGACAAAAAAACTGAGGTATGTCTCGTTTCTGTCGGGTCTGGGTTTTTTTTTGTATGGGGCGTGACCATTCTTCTTTATACCAAATACATAAGTCTATTGTCCCTTTAAGCAGTAAAAAACACTTCTTAAATCTAATTGCCTCTAAACTGTGAAAAATTCTAAATCAACGCAAAAATTCAAAACGCTGAGGTAGGTACCTACCTATAATCATACCGCATTATTTTGAAATTCGCCACTACTCGCAACGGAATCAATACTTAAAGACTACTACGATATCTAGTAAGTAATTTGATTTAATACGTCATAAATTGTAAACCGCTACGTTTGTACGGCGGAACCCTCGGTGTGCGAGTCCGACTCGCACTAGGCCGGTTTTTTTTTTCTATGTATGTTCACCGATTACGCCGAGATTTCTGAGCCGATTTATTTCATTATTAAGTTAAACGACGACAAAATGAGACATAAGGCTCCTGCAAGCCTTGTGTAGCTATACAGCATGACCTCCAATAAAACCCAACTAGTGAAGGCTAGAAGTTAGTCGCGAGGGAAAGTTTTACTGTCATTGGGACCACCAAGAAATTAATCAGAAGAAACTAGTAGATAAGGAATTAAGGACAAACTTACTTCTAGTATACAACGGAAGACCGATTATTGTAATAAAAATATTTAGGATACCTTAACCACGAGCGGTATATTTTTTCTGATATTTACTATGGGGACTTGTCACGACAGCTGTTAATCGGTAATGTTTATAGCAAAATCACAGAAAGGCACGGAAGTTTTCCTTATCGTCACAAAAGATATCTGATAATAATTACCTACTGGGGTTCCTTAGTAAACTCAAATGCTCTATGTGAAATGTGTAAAATTATATGTATAGCCTGACCAGGAACATAAAAACCCTCGCCATGTTGCGGAAAACTAATGGTACTAATTTCTTTTAATGGCAACAGTAACTGAAAACTTCATTGACATGTCACCTTGCATGTCAGTCTATTGTTGTCAAAGTGTAAACAAACTTTATTTTAAATGTTTGCAATTGATTTTGTGAATTAAATTGCTAAAATATTTTTATAGTCGTGAAAGAAAAGTGGTTCACGATGTGTTAATGTATTTGTCGAAGAGAAATACTAAGGGTTCGGACAATATTTTCATTGAATAATGTTTCCGACAAAGGTTGTCAAATTGACTGACATGTTTATCGTATAGTACAGTCCACTATGAAAATTAGCTGTAGTCTGTTTCAACTACTTATTTTAATGTTTTTTATCACTTTCTAAGTTTTGAATTTTATGGAATTGGGAAAGAAGTACCGAGTTTGAAGGGTTCATGAGCAGACATTGCAGTTGAATATTCAAGTTCTGAATTTGATTAATGATGAATAATAAAATAAATCCTACTAGCTCGATTGATGGTTTCATTTAATTTATTTAAACCAGGTTACCTTTAATAATATTTTTCGTTAATTTATGAAAATATCAAATTAGCCCGTAATCCTGAATCCTGATACATAAATTTAGCCTATTAATTTAACACATGTACGACTGTACTCAGTGTTGCACTATCAAATGCAATTGAAGCGCCTCTATGCCAGGGTTTTTATGTTCCTGGTCAGGCTATATATAATATTTTAGCTAAGTACTTATTTGTCAATATCAATTTATAAATCATACTTTATGACTTTAGTCTTTAAAGTCATAAATAAATAAATAAATTAGACTAGTCACTAACTAGTCATAACAGAAACAAAGAGTTTTCTTATTAGAGCCGTTGTTTTATTTGATTTCTAAGTAACACTCAATTAATAACTTGTATTCCTTGTCATATATGCTCACATCATTTATAAAATAACATAGACACAAATAGATTATAATAATCATAATAATCTTGACTGACTGCAAATAATGGAATGGTTTATTATTATAATATGAGCCTCAATATTCACATTAATAAGTCATTCATAATAAATTATGACAAAGTTCTGCTACGAAATTATTATAATATGCTATTTGCTATATTTAGAAATAGAAAATGAATGAATCAATAATCACTGTCCACTCAACTGACGCCTTTTACAGTTAAATCGTTTTCCTAAGATTGGTTTTCAAAGAAAATTACGATTTAATTGAAGGATTTTCTGCGTTTACGGCTGAAAATCCTAGGTACTTACACTGTGCGTTGTAGCTGCTTCTGTTTAAATGTCCTAAGTGTAGGTACTTACTCGTACTTACTAAGTAGGTTCACAATGCATGTGTGACCTAAGGAATTTATTTGGAACATAATGCTTAATGAGTAAACATTAAATAGACGCCATGTGATTGGATACGATATACCCTAGAGAAATCACTGAAACACTACAAGCCTCCAAAGGGGTTATGATCGCTCCCTTAGCAGAGGACGAGCGGTAATTAATTAAACTTCACCCGAAGTTTCTCTCAGCAGGTATTACTATTATTTGTTCTGCGTTAACATTCTGGAACGCTATCTGAAATGTCTCCAGGGAGGGGAGAGTGGCTCGCTTTGATCTTAGTTCCTGCCAGCCCCCACGGGCGAGCTTAAGTTTATATCAAGTACAAAACAAGCTAGGGTGGTTTGTTCTCCATTGTTGTCTCGATCATAAATATTTAATAAATTCGCTTTATTCACTGCGTAAGACTTAAGGTCTTATAGCTTGTACATTAATTTGAATTACGACTCCCACGATTTTATACGTAGCGACTTTAATATCTATAATATTTACAAATGGTTGTTGTATAAAACTGATTATGATGTTGCACGAAACGGGAAAATTTTACGTTCTAGAAATTGCGATGGAACAAAGGCACTTTAAAAGTTAGATCTATAAAACTGTTCCGTTAGGAATTGGATCCATGGATTCGTTCATTAGAACATCATAACCTGTGTCTAAACTAATTAAACAGTAGCGAACACTATTCATGATAATTTTCGTAAACGAGCCAAAAAGAGGTGACCGTTTTCATTATTAGTACTTGTTATGAATTTAATTATAATATTACAACTGTTTTAAAAACAAAGGAAAGCTATTATACCTTTAAATGTATTTTGTGAAGTCAATTATAGCGCGCACATTGTAATAGGTACGAAGTGTTGATAAATCTCAGTTCTAGATTGTAATGGAAAATTCCAGCCCCACTTGAATGAAACCTTGTTCAAAAACAGTGGCTTACACGAACTTTCTTTAATAACAGTCTCGGTATTGAAAAGAGAACTCTATCAAATTAATAATACATGTAGGTGGCAATAAATTATTTGACTTTGCTATGTTTATTCATGTTTTGTACACGTTTGCTGGCCTACTTACATAATTGAGGGTGTGTTATTAAGAATCGCAACTTAATTAAGCCTTAATAAAGATGATCGGTAATATAGAAGCAACATTTTTTCGAGAGAATTGATTATTCTATGTATTTTGTGACAGATAGATACCTAATAAAACAAAATCGTATTAGGTATAAATGTAAAACCTTTCCTAACACAATTCCTACTATCTTCTGCTTTAGCTACTCATTTTTATTTCGTTTAAGTTATGTTCAATCTTCAACTTGAATTTGTTTATAACTAAACTTCATTATTCTGTATTACCAGATAGGATTTCCACTGGTATGAATGACTCTTATTCTGCAGATTTGACGCAAATTCATCACCCATCTTACAAGACCTTTAAAGATCCTTATCTCGAAGTAATAAGATACGACAAAAATATACGATACCCCATAGCATGACGTAGACAAGCCGCCGCCGCTCAAGCTATTCGTTAAACACTTGTCTGATGTCACATATCATGTTATTTATTATCACACTATCAATTTGGATCGTTTTTGACTGACGGTGAGAGGTTAACGTCGCGGCGCGGTCCTCGCAGCGTCGATGCCGGTAACGCGCGCACTGTTTCACGTGTACTTACACGGTTATGGGTAGTGTACTTGTGTATAGGGTAGTGTATGGTGGGGCGGTCGTGACTAGAGTGCCGGGCTGGGGCGTGCGCGCCGTGCCTCCCCGCGGACTCGACTGAAGGGCTTCGCTCGCTAGGGCGCGTCGCCCACGCTCGATACCGCCGCCTTCCCAGCGCCCTCCCACATTGCAAAACCATTTATAAAAATTCACTTGTTTACTGCAAAATATTGACGATAATATATTTATAACGACCGCTCTACCTTCTAACCAGAACTTGAACCGTTCTTTACGATGCGGACCGGGTGTAATTTTTCGTAAATCGTCATTTCGCAGCCGTGCGGGGCATGATATGGATTTGTAACGGTGAACCCGAATCACGCTGATATCTAATTTAATAAATGGATACGGAACGCGTTTTTCACATTTTATGCAAGGGTATTTGCTTTGCTACTCGTATATTTTTGGGTTGGTAGGCATTAACTTTCACATCATTATGTGCTACGTTTTAATTAATTAAAACAAATTTACACCTACGTAAAAGCGAAAATGTAGTACGAATATTGTCTTTAACATTTTCATCTACCTAATTTAGATATAAATCTTACAAAATAGAAATGTTCAAAAATTCCACTACCGTAACAACGCGCTCAGTAATTTGTAGCAAATTCGTAATTACATTAGTTCGTAGTAAGCAGGCGTAGCTTCGTAGCAACGAATTCCGCTACGAAGTCTACACTACGAATGCGCTACGAGCTACGAATTTCTGGAGTTTATGGATGATTTTTAATTTCAGTTAAGTACGTACACAAACTGCCCTCGTAAACCAAAAAGTGGTATTATACTTAAATGATAGAGATTTTGTGTTGATACCAATTTTTAGTTTATTGCTACTTTTATTTGTAAATAGGCAATGTTATTAGGATCGGTGTACTTTTAGGACGATTGTTAAAACATTGGTAAAGATATCTTTAAAAAAAACTGAAAATACTCTATCCCTTGCAATGCACAATGAAATTATTCACCATTCCCAAAATCCATCAACTTTTAGCAGAAATAATTGAAGTGACGTCACACACAGACTCTCGTTAAATCGTAATTTGACGCTGTAATTACAAAATGTGCAGCCGTCCTGACGAGCACTCGAGTCATGAATAATCATTTACTCATACCTACCCGCAAATGGCCCGATCGGGAATTTGACACCGCATATTTTGGCTAATTAGCAGTTCAGCGTTTAGGCAAAATGATGACTTCTGCTATTCAGCCATTCCCAAAGTGGGCGATAACGCCCCCTTGTGGGTGCTGCAGGCCTAAAGGGCGGCGGTAAGAGATCAAGAAAAAAACCAGGGCGTTGTGTAGGTAGAGGCTTGGGGGGAAATTTGTAATTTCATCTATAATAGTAGCTTGAAAAAATGGGGGCGCTAGAAAATAATTTGTTCTCCAAGTGGGACGGAGACAAAATAAGTTTGGGAAGCCCTGCAATATGAACCGATAACCGAATGTGAGCAATTTGTGTTAGCGCAAATAACGTAGGTACATTACTCACCATTTAATTACTTACTAGCAGCCAGCCCCGGCTTCACCTGGGATGAACAATTTATTAGGTAAGTAATGTTATGTCATAAGTAGATAAAGTGATATTGCACAAAATATAAATCTTAAGTTCTACATTAATACTTATGAAACAATGTAAAAGACTTTAAACTATTATGTTGCATTTTCTTTACTATAAAATTATCACTTCACGGGATTTATTGCAACAATATCTATTTTAACGGTAAATAATATTTACCCTCCCGACGTTTCGGCTCGGTTGCACGAGTCATGGTCGCGGGCAGACTGAAGAGATGCGGCGTCGTCTGCTCCGGCGCGATGAGTTTTCTTCACCCACCCGCATTTGCACAATATTTTCGTCAGTGGTACAGTCAGTCCGACAAACTACACTAACAGTGTCCGGGTTTCTCTAAGACGGCCTAGAACGCGATTTGTACTTCGTTATCACCGGATTCCACGCTGATGATAGGTTAAATCCATCTTCTCGATTGAAATTCTTATGCTTTTTAATTTCAATGGCTTCACGTATCAACCTAACATGGTAATGCCTGTCAGTTGAGAGGATTTTCGGGTCATGAAGTTCCATCCAGTGATTAACGTCCGAAGTTAACAAATGCTCAGCTATCGCAGATTTGCACGTCTGTTGGTTCTTTACAGCCGCTATGTGTTCTTTGACTCTTTCAGCTATAGACCGCTTAGTTTGTCCTATATAAGAACTACCACAGCTGCAATCGATCTTATAGACACCCGGCGTCTGAAGAGGTATAATATCTTTTGGCGAGCGAATTTCCTTCGTTACTTTTGACAACGGACTATATACAGTCTTAATGGAGTATTTGTTGAGTACTGTTCCAATTTTATCCGTTACCCCTTTCACGTACGGAAGGAAAGCTGGTTCCCTGCTCACCATAAGCCATTGAAATTAAAAAGCATAAGAATTTCAATCGAGAAGATGGATTTAACCTATCATCAGCGTGGAATCCGGTGATAACGAAGTACAAATCGCGTTCTAGGCCGTCTCAGAGAAACCCGGACACTGTTAGTGTAGTTTGTCGGACTGACTGTACCACTGACGAAAATATTGTGCAAATGCGGGTGGGTGAAGAAAACTCATCGCGCCGGAGCAGACGACGCCGCATCTCTTCAGTCTGCCAGCGACCATGACTCGTGCAACCGAGCCGAAACGTCGGGAGGGTAAATATTATTTACCGTTAAAATAGATATTGTTGCAATAAATCCCGTGAAGTGATAATTTTAATGTAAAAGACTTATCTAACATCCTACAGTTATCCGTGGTTCCATAGATTAAACCACTTACAAACACCAACTCATAAAATTCGCACTCTCTCTTTGAAACAGTGCAAAGCACGATTACCTACTGAATAGTTAGTATATCTATATATCTATAGTCGGCCGTTTGGTGTAGTGGTTCAGAACGGACTACTATGCCGAGAGGTCCCGGGTTCGATTCCCGGCCGGGCAGAAATTGAAATGATGAATTTTAATTTCTGTGACGGGTCTGGGTGTGACTATGTATAATATTTATGTATTTAAAAAAAAAAGCATATAAGTAGTATATCCGTTAAGCTAGCACCCATAACACAAGCATTAAGTTGCTTACTTTGGGGCTAGCTGGCGCTGTGTGAAATTGTCCAAAGATTTATTTATTTATTTTATTATTTATTATCTGCTATGCTATGTAGCTTTTTACTAGGAAAACCGTGAGCTTTGTTATTCTACGTGGTAAAAGTAAATAAGCTCAAAATAGTTTCCCTACTTCCTATTTAAATCTATTTCCCCTTAACCCATATCTTTCCTTTTATCGGTCGCATGTTGGAATATAATTATTTTAATTTCGAAAAACAAAATAATTGCATACAAACACTGTATTCAGGTAAGACCTATTTAAACCTTCGGTATTTATTGTTCGCGCAAAAACGAGTGGATCGCATAATGCAACGTGTTGTGGGCTATCGCGTGTGGGGGCTTGATACCATCGGCTGCAGGCTGCACGCTCGCTGGCAACACCGCAGGCACATTAACTACCACTTAGAACTATTACCCCAGCAACTTACAGCAGACCCAACTCACAACTTGAATTATGCACTCGACAATTATTATCCTACTTGGGTAGGGAATTGTCGCAGACCGTATGTTCGTTCGTTCGTTTCAGCCAAGTGACGTCCACTGCTGGACAAAGGCCTCCTCCAAGGTTTTCCACAATGCACGGTCCTGCGACCGTGACAAGTGCAAAAGTGAAAAAGGGTCGTGCAAAATGACCGACATAGCTCGCAGAATTGCTAAAATCAAATGGCAGTGGGCGGGGCACATATCTCGTAGAGACGATGGCCGTTGGAGCAGAAAAGTTCTCGAGCGGCGACCACGGGCTGGGCAGGCCTCCTACTAGGTGGACCGACGATCTGGTAAAGGTCGCGAGACCGTATGTGCCCGACAGTTATTGCGTTTTACCTACTTGTCAGAGAACCTACTTATAATGCATTATTGTAGCTACTTCCTAAAGTCAGGTTGAACATTACAGTCCAAGATTACTGTATTTAGTCATGTGTGTTCGATGATTTATAATCTACTGCCGCTACTGACCTACTTACTTAAGTAGTTTTTTCATGTTAGGAATGTTTATACTCGTATTTAGTTAGTTATATTTTATGTCTAAAATATAGGTACATTTTTGTGATTGGAACAGCTGGACGGCAGCACACATCCATGCACCGTGGACGTATGCGGTGGTGGAGTGGGCCGCAATATGGCGGAGGCTCTGTGGCGACTGCGTGGCGGGAGAGTGCGCCTGCTCACTGCTGTGGGCGACGATAGTGATGGCCGCTACTTGGCAAGTGTCGCCCCTGGGCTGTTGCTTGACGGTAAGTAATAAGGCTACTACCTGATTAGGTAGATCAGTGCAGTCAAAACCGTAAGCTAGGGTTTTGGAAGTTCAAAGGATATAGAAGATATTCCTTTTGTAGAGCAGGTACCTCAGGTTTTCCATGGTACCGGTATAGCCGCGACAGGGATAAATTACCAACCTAAAGATCGATCGTATCATATGATCTACCTCTTAGCACTTTTTATTGTTTACCAAAATGGCTACAATCTAGATAGGTATATATAGAACTTATGTAATTCATAGATACTTTACAATTTAATTATAAGAGCTCTACAATTAGGTCTTTCTATTCGTCAACGATACACGTACTTATCTACTATCTTCTTTTACAGGATGTGTTATCAAAGATGCGCGCACACCGACCTATGCCGCAATATTGGACGCCAAAGGAGAATGCCTGATGGGCTTAGGAGATATGGGTTTACACAGCCACATAACTTCAGAAATGGTAAGAATAAGCAAATACGAGTTCATTACGCCCACTTACTTACCTCTAAGTAGTATCATGGTAACATAGTATTACAGGATGACTGATTGCTGAAGAAGTAGCCCCCGGGCTACAGGAGCCTCCAGGACCGGATTAACGACCATTTTTAGATGAAAAGAGCCTCCTGAATGGTCTTTAAAGTTGGGAGGCCCTAAATGATAAAGCGCCCTTCTAAGGAACGCTATGCAACTGCCCGTAGGCAAAAAATTCACCACGTTTCGTAAAAATTGTGTATTTGTGTTATGTAAGTAGATATCTACTAACTTTCAATTTTTCTTACAATAGGTGGATAAGCATAAAAAGGTGTTACAGCAAGCCCCCCTTGTGATATTCGACGGCAACATACCTGAATCCACAATGGAGCATGTTATGCAACTTTGTAACAGCATGAAGAAACCAGGTAAGATTATTTTTCGCTCTTTTTTACTTTATGACGATTAAGTAAGGTATCAGGTCGTCGGTCCACCTTGTGGGTGGACGACACACGCTGCGTTTTCCAGTACGTGGCCTCCACTCAAACCTTGCTGCCCCATCGGCCGTCAATTGTGCGTACTATGTGCCCTGCCCATTGCCACTTCAGCTTGCTAAATCCGTCGGGCTGTCGTCAGTGACTTCAGTTCGTTTACGGATCTCCTCATTTCTGATGTGATCTCGTAAAGAAACAACAAGCATAGCCCTTTCCATAGTTGGGATTCTAAGTTATCGATGATTAACAAATAAAAAAATATTATCTTGTTAAAAATATAATGTATTTTTCCACTATCAGTACAATGTGCTTACCCATCAAATGGCTATAAAAATATAAGTATCATTCGGACGGACTAAATTACATAATATTAAGTTCATTTGTTTACAACAAGAAGCTGGAATGCATAATAACAGCTAACAATTTCCACGTGTGATTTTGTACCAAGATTTTTAAAAGTTAATACATTAGTAATAATGCAGATGAAAATCGTGTTATATTTCGCAATGAGAAAATTACATTGACATCACTAAAACATTGTGTATAATAATATTTTCAATGATATTAAAATAATTTTAAATCCTTTTAAATTCATATTTATCAAGAAAATTACAGTTTATGGCTTGTTGCAAACATTGATTAAGTAAACTAATCTTAATAGTACCTACATATTACCTACAACTAAGGACATACATAATTCTAAAATTAAGGATAAAAAAATACAAATAAGTAGCAGACTTTTAAAATAAAATTGGAGCGCAATCTTAATGGAATCATTGTAAGAATTTTTCCACAATTTTTAACAAAACTCCAAGAGAGCTTCAGTAAAGCATTTACACAAATTGAATCTATATTTTAACTATAATAACTACGACATATAAATGCACTTGTGATTTATAGTAAAATAGCTGACATTTAATCAACTATGTACACGTCAATACATTTAAAATTAATTTTAAACAATGTATTTTCCAAATGTAATTTTAAATTGTTATCAATAAAATTCAAAGGCACTCATCACACATCAAAAATGCATTCCTTTTACTTAGATCCATAAAATACAAAGGATAATTAAGCGTTAACTATAAAGATCTTCTTTGAGATTCAAACAACAATCATTTGCATAGTGAATTCTAGTACTTCTTAACATTATCAATTATACTGTTTAAAATACTCAGTTTTAAAAATTTCATATTGGAAATTAAGTCCAGGTACGGTCAGAGACAAGGGTGGAGTATATCTACATATTCCAATTGTGACGTTGCTGTTGGAGCTGGTCGCGAAGCTGATGCAACGCATGCTCCGGCTGGCTGTGCTGCATCTGAGCCACAAGGTTCCTAGCTTCCAAACGCAGCTCGTACAACTTGCGAGATTCCAAATACAAAAGGATAGCAGCAGCACCTATGTAAAAATTACGTAAAAGTTATCACATAGCTATCAAAACTTACTCTAGGTAATCATACAGTAAATTTAAAGGGACTCACCAAAGAACATGAAGGCAATTACAGCAAATGCATAAGACCAGGATAGTACATTGAATGATGGGTACAGAAGCCAATCACGTCTATAGCAGTTTCCACCAAAAATTGCTACTGCAAGGAACAGGAAGGCACCTGGAAAATATGATCAAGTTGATAAACAATAATAAAAAACATACACAATTTAATAAGATAAAAAATTATGTTAAACTTACTGGCTAAGGCGACTAAACAGAATGACACAGAAACAAACATCCATTCGTAACGTAACACTGTACGAAGTGGCCAGCGGACAATGACTAAGGCTAGGAGGACCTGAGCAGTGAAAGAGAAAATGAGAGCCAGTGTCACAAATGCCTGGACAGACATAAGCCAACCAGGCAGTAGCCATTCTCTAATCACATGGAATTCCTGAAAACATAAGACATAATTTAGTTCATTTACCCTGGGATACTTTTACTACAACAAATGTCAAGTCTGACAACCTCCATACAAAAACACCAGTTATAGTTACAGTTAAAGTTAAGGTGGTACAAATGAGGCTTAGTATTTAGATACGTCTTTAGGTTAATCCATAATAATATTATTTAAATACCTGGCTAAACACATAGTGACATCCATGAAACAACTTATCAAATTGATAAGATGGGAATCTGAATCGATCAAAACAATATTCCCATAGACCCATGCGTTTGAAGGAAGAAAACATCTCTGGGTAGGACTCGATCCAGTATGGGCCAGCAAATGAAAGAAGCAAGAACAGGCCAGCAATATACGTAATACTGGCGCCAATTAGTGTAGCATCTGCAAAAATTATATTTAAATTTTATAACATTGAAAATGCGAATGTACTGTTTCAAAACCTAAAAGGCTTGACTAGTATTCGAGAATAATAATGAAATCATACATGTGCTAACTCATATTACGCTTGTTAATAATTTTAACATACTTTAATTTGTTTTGCACATAAGTTTACATTAAAGAAATAAAATTAACACAAAAGTTTCCTGCATGGGCGTGCCCGGTTGTACTTACTTGAAGCTTTTGGATATTCATTGTCAGCCGTCATGATGAATACTAGTGCTAAGATTATAGGAAATTACTGAATTTCATCAACTATTTGTTTACAAGATTATTATCTCATTAGATTTTATAAAATTCTAATGTTTTTTGAACAGTTTCCGTCAACTGCTGATCGCTCGCTAAACAAAAATGACATTAATGACAGTACTGCTGATGTTTGACCTAAAAAAAAAGTAAACCTAAGCAAAGGCATAACATAAAACAGGAAAGGATAGATGGATAATGGAATAAAATTCATATAGCCTGACCAGGAACATAAAAACCCTGGCATAGAGGCGCGTCAATTGCATTAGATAGTGCAACACTGAGTACAGTCGTACCTGTGTTAAATTAATAGGCTAACTTTATGTATCAGGATTCAGGATTACGGGCTAATTTGATATTTTCATAAATTAACGAAAAAATATTATAATAAAAATAGTAGGATTTATTTTATTATTCATCAATAATCAAATTCAGAACTTGAATATTCAACTGCAATGTCTGCTCATGAACGCTTCAAACTCGGTACTTCTTTCCCAATTCCATAAAATTCAACACTTAGAAAGTGACAAAAAACTTTAAAATAGGTAGTTTAAACTAACCACAGCTAATTTTCATAGTGGACTGTACTATACGATAAAACATGTCAGTATATTTGACAACCTTTGTCGAAAACATTATTCAATGAAAATATTGTCCGAACCCTTAGTATTTCTCTTCGACAAATACTTTAACACATTGTGAACCACTTTTCTTTCACGACTATAAAAATATTTTAGCAATTTAATTCACAAAATCAATTGCGCACATTTAAAATAAAGTTTGTTTACACTTTGACAGCAATAGACTGACATGCAAGGTGACATGTCAATGAAGTTTTCAGTTACTGTTGCCATTAAAAGAAATTAGTACCATTAGTTTTCCGCAACATGGCGAGGGTTTTTATGTTCCTGTGGGTCTAGACAAATTGCAAATTATAATCGCAAACCAGTCGATAAGTGGTCGAAAAGCCCCTTTTTTGTATGGAGTTTTGACGGATTCGATTTTCGATTCGATCGAAAAGTGCTGCAAATTATAATCGCAAACCAGTCGATAAGTGGTCGAAAAGCCCCTTTTTTGTATGGAGTTTTGACGGATTCGATTTTCGATTCGATCGAAAAGTGCGTTTTGTCTAGGGGGGCTGGTCAGGCTATACAATAAGACACCGCGGCGCAGACCTTTCTTTCAAATCCCTTTGAAGAAAATTTAGAGCCACATTCAATCTTAAATTAAATAGTTTTGTCTAATCTTAACAAGCTTGCCGCTTTCATTTGAAAACCGCGGAAGGAAAGATCTTACAGCAAAAAATGGAAGCTACAAACTGGTAGTAGTAGGAGACATTGGTGTATCTAGTTAGGGTCATTTCTCAGGGGGCGCAGCAAGGCCCCTGATATTTGAGTACTTACTACAAATGCCATCTTCGAATCGAATCGGTAGGCCAAAATTCAAAGTCCTGGGTCCAGACCTGTGGGCCAGAACAATCTAGGGTGGGCACGGGCCCCCGACCCCCGCTAAACGTGCATCGTATTAATATTATAAAGATATTCCGACTGAAATAAAACAGTTTCTTACATATTTTATTATAGAATTTATTTATAATATAAAATAAAAAATGGACGGGAATTATAAAGCTTACGTAAAATACAATACAAAATTTATAATTCAATTATATCTAAGGATAGTTACCTACCAACCTACTAAGGCAGAATGTGATATTATAAAATAAGTTACCATTGCTTACGGCTCTTTATGTTTCGTACATCAATAATATAATCATCGCGATTTCCCCAGGAACAGGAATAAATAGTGCAGCTTACTAAGGCAAAACGAATCAGATCATATCAATTCCGAGATTACATTTTTCAACTTCTTACACCCTTAACCAGGCTCTGGTATCCACAGAGACCACATCAATTTGAACCTTATGCTGTGAAGATATGATTGAAAACCAATTACTTTTTTTTAGACCCGGTTAAGTGTTACAGAATAACTTACATTTTATTGGCGTTACAATTTATACCTTAAAATAAACAATGGACGGATATTAAGAAGGTACTTAAGTTTATCTGTTTCAAATACAATGTTTCTAAACGTAAGAACAATTATTTTTAATACTACAAATACAGAATTTAAAAATAATAATAAGTGGAAAAGAATGTTTCGTTACTTGTGATTTTTCATGTTCTTTACATTCCAGTCTGCACGTTAAGGAGAAGCCTTTATACACAAGCCCTTGTATAAAATAAATCTAAAGGCTACACTTAAGCACAGATTTAAAGAATATTTTGTGCAGTCATAAAATCTCTTAACTAAAAACGTGCTAAACTATTTTATTCGTTGGTATATTAGTCTCTAAAATATCTAGATGTCAGTGTATATAAAACCAGTTTTACTGAATATGTATAGCGTTAATTAACAGTACTTACTAATACATATTTTACACAATAATAACATTTGCAGTCTCTGTTATCATGGATTATCTAATAATATTTAGTTAATTAAAAGTAGGTACACATAAAAGGCATAAACTAAAAATTACCAAGTATTCGATTGGTATATTGTACATGATACTATCCTAAATATCAATTCTCGATTCTTTAGTCGTAATATTATTAGTAAAAAATATTGTGATGTGTAATTTCAAATAAAGTTATAACAGTTCACTACGTAATAATAGAATCATTTCGTTTTAAAGTTAATTGACAACACCTGTTTCTGATTTCGCAAATAAATTACATACCTACCTAGTAGTTAGATAAAAGTAAGTAATATGCCATGCCAACAATGTTTAATGGCAAATTCAGAAAACAGGGACTCAATAATAAATCTTATTAGTAAGGTAATTTATGTCATTTAACAATAATATCTTGTATATATTCTTGTTTTCTTTAAGTATGTATATGTCACCNAGTAATTATTTTTCTACGTTTTAGTGTAGGTTTTTTGGAGTCGGTTTTATTTTTTTTTATAATTAGTTGGCCGATAGTTGTGCCCGATTTCAAATTGTATGAAGAATCGGCCAAATCGAATCGGCGTAGTGTGCGCACTCCCATACATGCCCATACTGATCAACAGCCCGACTAAACTATCGGCCGACGAAAAATCAACGGTGTGCGCCTACTCTTAGTGTGAGTTTACATCAAACGTCCTCACTAGTGAGCGCGTTAAAAATATATGAAAATTTTAGTTCTTGAAAGTTTCCGCTAGGGGCGCTGTACAATCCGTCATACATTTAATGTATTTTTTTTACGCGCTAACTAGTGACGACGTTTGATGTAAACTCACACTAAGCCCTCTGTTGTCTAGTTTTAATTGTTTAATTTTTCTGGGGGCACAGCAGTGCCCCCACCAAGTCGAGCAAAAAAGCGGCACGGCCGTACCATCCTTTTCTCGAAGCAATTCAGGCTATTTTCGACCCCCTGTATCATCGTTGTGGATAAAACTAGAAGGCTGAATTTTCAGTATCCATGCAGGCATTGTAAAGACACGGTATATTTCAAATTTCATTCAATTTGAACCAGTAGTTTAAGAATTATATCAAAAACAATACTTGTCAAAAAAACCAAGTCTCGCAACTCAGTTGTTCTACGGTAAAAAGTTGTGAGATCCATGTAATACCAAGTCTGACTTATTATTGACTTGGCCATCGCACTAAATAATTTAATTTACCTACACGTGTTTTCATGGGATTACTTTTTACATCGAATAAATACTTTTCTTTAAAAAAATCATACAATACCTACTTACAGGTGAAGAAGACAGTATAATAATGTCATAACTTATGATTACAGGAGTTTGAATCTTTACTTTGAATGTGAAACCTATACTATTGTTGCACATAAGTTTTTGTAACATTTTCCTTATTTATTAATTAAATTAATATAAACTAACAAAACGTAGCAATCAATTCGTTATCGGAATAATTTTAATAACGTTACGCGAGGCTGTTTGTTTTGCACTGAAAATGTATTAATTTGTTCATTAACTTTAAAATTATATTTGCACTTGTTTGTTTTCGATATATACTAACGTCAAACCTTAATTTACTGAGTATAATTAATACACGTGTTGATATTAAAAGTAAATGCAAACTTAATTTAAATATACGCAATTTACCTTGTATTGTTTTCGTGTTTATGCCATGCGAATATCTCAGTTACCCATATTTAACTAGATTTTGCCCGCGGCTTTATCCACTCCACAGTTAAGTTAGTCAAGTTCAGTTAATTTATATCAACCACATTTTTTCTTATCAAAACCTTATTAGTAATGTTTTGATACGTTTTGCGGTCTACGGTCAAGTCAAATAAGCGGTCAGGTCAGCCCTCACCTGTCATTTTGTGAGATCGCATCGATGCAAAGTATAGAGATCGATAATATTGGCGGGCTGCGTTCACTTTGATCTTTTTTTTTATCCACAACGAGGAAGCTCTTGGCCTGTTATCTCACCTGATGGTAAGTGACGAACAGGCCGAAGGTGGAAGCGAGCTTCACCCGGAATCCTCAACCACGGAGGAACTGGCTATCTTACCTCTAACTGACGGAACACAACAATGCTGTTAACATTGTTGTTATGGCGACAGACTTAGGTAAGATGGTGGTAGCTAGCCAGGCGGACTTAGAACAAGCCCTACCATGAGCCCACCACCAACCAAACCGAACAGAAAAATCTGCCCCCACTAGGAATCGAACCCGGGACCTCTGCGTCTGAAGCAGGTGGTCTTACTACTAGACCACAGAGGAGGTTAAATCTGACCTCAGAACGCATCCAGTGTGGAAAATCCTTTACTGTATAAGAAATTCGGTATGTATAGTTAGTTCCTTTTATCTTCTTCCATGTATATCACCACAATTAAGGTCTATTTTTTGCAAAAAAGTGTAACTTTTCCTGTCGATTTATCTCTATTTTAATTATAAATATTTTAGTGAATTTGTTCTACTTTCACATTTATGAGCTACTGTATGTAGTAGAATTAAAGAAATAAGATAGAAATGTTGGTTTGCTAATAATAGAGCAGCTGCTTTTATGTTAAAAGAAACCGTTCATTTTATTTGTTATCGACTAGTGCGTGAAATGGAGAAATTCCATTAAAATAGCTATGAAAGTCTATTTG